CAAAAGCCCACAGACAGTAGTAAACTTGAGATGTCCCAGGAACTCAGTTGCACACGGAGTCCAGTGAGGAGGGGCAGCAGATAAATGAGTTGGGCGTGTAAATGAGGTTAGCAATGTGCAGAGTGAGGGGAATAAGGTAGAGCCAATAACTCTATTTTAGACCTTGTGCTGTTTCTCTGGCTTGTCTATCACACTGCACACCAATTCTTTGACTTCATAGCTGTTTTCCTCAGAATCTTCACTAGACCAAGTCCTCCTTTGTCTTATTTTACCTTTCACTTCCATTTGTTGCATCCTGCACAGTATCTTTTTGGCCTTGGATAAAAGAATGAAAAGTTTACTAACTACTTGGAAGTACCATATAAGGCAACCACTTATTGTCACCTCTATTTCCACCATTTTACTCATCTAGAGTGAACTTTGATGGTTTCACGGGGCAGTTGGTTGTCTTCTGCTGAGGGGCTTCTTTCTGTTTTGAGTCTAGAAGGAGTTTGCCTTCAAAGCATTGCTCATACTGAACCAAGGAACTGATGAATGACAGTGGATGCATCCTCATCGCCTGGGTGGTGGAGGTAGCATTTGAGCTAAGCTTTGAAAATGAGGATTTCTACAAGCAGAGAAGCCCATTAAATTACTAATAACCATGCTTAAAAGTCTTCTTCCTTCCTTATGCCCAAACTGAATTCTTTGTCTGCATATGCTTCCTTGATTAAGAGCATTTTTATCTCTCCACTCACCAGGGGAAACGTCAAAGATAAATAATTTAATGGAAAATTATATACCTCCTCCCACTATGTTATGAACTCATCACAAAATATTACATTTATCCTGAGTATATTTGTTTTCCATTTTATTTTTCAATTTTTATTCTTAGCAATAATAACAATAATAAAGTGGGCCCTGATGCACACCCAAACTTAAGAGGCCGAGGCTAGAGATTCACAAAAGCTCACAAGTTATGAACATGGGAAATATAGTGAAACCCCATCTCAAAATAACAACAATAATAATGATATATTTTAAAAATACACAGACTCTTGAGAAGTACTGAAAAGGAGTGCTTCATTATAGTGATTAAACAATGAATAAATGATCAATAAAGTGATGCCAAGAATTAATATGCCTTGCTCAATAACCAGTATGTGGAAGTACCATACATATAAATGTGTTTTGAATGGATGCATTTTTTAGGCCCAGTGTTGTTATTTTTTGCCAAATTTAGATGTTACTTAAATGTTAATATTCTTTAAGTTACCCATCAATAAATTGATGTATTAATTAATGTCACCATATGGCAAGTGCTCACAGAAACCTTAAGCTAAGCACTAAACACTCATAGAGATAAGGTGGAGGGAAATATACTTGATTTTATGAGGCACAGGAAATAATTGCTCTTTCAGTAGAGATGTACACTTTGCGTTTTAAAAAGGCAAATGTGATGAACTTAAACAGCTCATTTATTCAAAATTCAATTCACCCTACTATAACAACTAAAAGCAAGATAGGTTGTTCTTGGGGCTGGAGAGATGGCTCAGCGGTTAATAACACTGTTCTTGCAGAAGACCTGGGTTCGAATTCCAGCACCCACATGGCAGCTAACAACTGTCTGTAACTCCAGTTCCAGGGATCCAATGGCCTCTTCTGTCCTCCGCAGGCATTGCATGACATGGGTGCACTTAACTACATGCAGGCAATACATGCATACACATTAAAAAAAAATAAAATATTTTTTAAAAGGTTGGTCTCTCCTTCCTTCCTTCCCTTTCTTCCTCCTTTCTTTCTTTCTTTCCCTTTTTCTTTCTCTCTCTTTCTTTCTCTTCCTTCCTTCCTTCCTTCTTTCTTTCTTTCTTTCTTTCCTTCTTTCTTTCCTTTTTTCTTCTGGGGCTTCTTTTCTGTTTCTCCTAGTGACTCTCTTAGATAGCTAATAGGTATTTCAAACTTATGCCCAAAACAGAACTAAGAAACTGCCTTTCCAAACTTGTCCCATTCTCCTATTTCCGCAGATCTTATACATCTTACTATTAGTAAGCATGATTTAAATACTTGTATCATCTGAAATCCCCAACACTGTTTTTTATTCTTTTTCCCCCCTCAGCTATGTCTCTTCTACCTATACAAATCCATTACCAACACCTGCTAGTCCTTCCTATAAAATATATCCCAACTTTTCTCAATCTTCATTGCCATACGATTCAAGGAACACAATGTCAAGAGTTCAAGGTCATCCTAAACCACATAGTGAGTTCACAGTCAGTCTGGGCTATGTGAGACACTGTCACAAGAGAAATGAAAACTTGTTGAATATATTATTTACTAATACGTATTAGTTGCAGCCAATAAACTTTTTTTGAGCATCTGTCATCTTCTAAGTTGGGATTCAGGCCTTCTAGTGCACATTCTAGTAAGAGGTGTGTTAAGGAAAACAGGAATGTCAGAACTTTGACTCCGTGATGTGTTAAGTACTTTTAGCAAACGATTCAACTGAGTACTGTGTCAGGTTATGAGAAGGAAAGGCTACCAGAGGTGATGAGTTAGGCAACACCATCAACTGAAAGGCATGATTGGAATGATTATTTGAGAGTTTACCAGGTGTCCATTCTTTGTGCATAAAGTAGTGGATTTAATTAGATGTTGGATACTTGAAGCTTAGCAAATGGAAAGCAGGTGAAGTGATGGGGGAACACTGCAATTGTTAGGATGAGTGATGACTCTGAACTGAGGTGACAGCAGGGATGAATTAGATGCTAGAAGCTTTTAAAGATCAAGATTTAAATGCAGAAGGAAAGATGAAGAAAGTGCAAATGAGGCCAGTAATTTTTAAATTTATCTTCTTTTTATTTATTTGTGTGTGACTATGCAGGTGTGTGTGCCACAGTGTGTGTTTAGGTCAGAGGACAGTTTTCCCGAGTCCTTTTACTTCTTCAACCTGGATCACAGGGCTCGAATTGAGGTCATCAGGTTGCACAGGAAGCGCTTTCCTCAACTGAGCCATCTTGACGGATCCAACAGGTAATTTTATGAGGCTTGTGTGTAATAACGCATAAGCCAGCAATCTGTAAACTACAACATATTCTGCAGAAGCGACTTTTTTTTGGTCTTCTTTTGGAGACAAGGTCTCCCTGTAGCCTCAGCTGTCCCGGAAGTCACTATGTAGAGCAGGCTGGCCTTGAACTCACAGAGATCCACCTGCCTCTGTCTCCCTAGTGCTAGGATTAAAGGTGTGCGCCGCCATGTCCTCCGGCCTGTCAGCAGCAACTCTTTTTATTATGTTCTCCTCCCAAGCCGATGTGACCCCTGAGGAACAGATCCTCAAACGAACTTAAGAGTAAAAATAAATTGGTTTATCCGGATCAACTGTATGGTCTTAAACACCCAAAAGGAAAGTATAACCAAAGATTAAGGGGCCAATATAATTTCTTAAGAGGCCATATGCATAGCTAAAGGCTACATAACAAGCAATAATGCCAGACAGGCAATACCTTCTTTTGAGTTGTTGGCCAGGGTGGCCAAAGGGACTCCCAGATAGTAACTCAGCATAGAACTGGGAAAAGGAACAGCAGACTCCAATCTTATCTAAAGGAATATTGACAACTGATTACTGCTAGATGAAGAACAGCTGACCCTCCTAAAACAAAGACCTCTAGATAGGCTGACTAGATTCACCAAAAGGGCAAGTAGTGAGGAATGGCTGGGGGTGCCAACAACAGAGCAGACAATAGCAGGGATATCAGAGTATAAGGGCTCTAGTTGGGGGAGGGAGGCTATGGGAGGGTGCTATCTAGGAAATGGGTGTATAGTTGAATGAGATGGTTTGGGATGTTCTGTGTGATATACGCACACACATACAAAATCACATTAAAAAATGTATTATATTTGAGGAGGAAGCATGGAAATTTACGTCATGCTAATTAGCAGAGGTGATAATACCAGTAAAATCTGCTCGATGACTTTATAGACATACACAGGCACCAAGGTTCCAAGTGCAACCTATTATGACTAGTAATAATCAGATACATAAAGATTAGAGATGCAAGCACCAACATCTCAGTGTTAGTAGCAAAAACAATGAGTCTGTCTGCAAGAAACAATATATTCTAAAATGAAATGGAGATCTTTTTTAAAGGTTAAAAACATCCAATTTTATGTCTTACAGGGCTTATACTGAGTTCAATAACATATAACTATATTAATTCAACGGTGAACCTAGAAACTTGCAGCCCCTTGTGAAAGAGATTTACTGTTGCTCTTGAATGTGTTACCGAATATGTTAAAGCTGTAGTGAAAACCTTTTAATCATGTCATTAAAAATTTTTTAAAGTATAATGATTAAAAATAATTCTTCAAAGCATAAAAATTTGCTCCTTAATAATTAGATGTGAAAAACATTATCACTGAAATTTACCTGATGACTTTATATCCATGTTCAGATGCCAAGGAGCTCAGAAAGTAACCGACTGTGACTAGTAATAATCTGATATATAGAGATTAGA